GATCTGTGATATCCCCTACTTTTCTTCCCTTTGAATTCCTTAAATAATTGTTCCTATTTTGAGTCATTCCTATTTGATTTTCCCATGTCCAATCATGAAAACCTAAACTTTGAAATCTTGAAAGCAAAACCACTTGATTTTAATCGAGAGTTTTTTTAAATGAACTTGATCTTAATCGAGAATTTTCTTAAATGATTTCTGTCATTTAAGATGTAATTAACTATAGGGGCTTGCCTCTATAGGGAATTAGGAACCCAGATAAAATAAACCCTATCTAATTTTTTATGTTAGGTAGGGGAACTTGTTGACCTTTTTATAAAAAATATTTCGCAGACTAACACGGATGTCACAAATTGTTTAATCTAGGTGATTGAATCCCTATTACAAGTGATATATTTATCCTTCGGGATAAGTGTATTACTTGTAGTATTGTATTCAATTATTTAAGTTATTTAAAATGTGAGACCTTAAAATGTGAGACTCGTTTGGTCTCACTTATTTTAAAAATTAAAAAGTTACTTCTTTAAAAAGGTTATATTTATATTTAAATTATTTCTAAAATCACAAAATCATCACATTTTCAAACTACGAAAGTGAAAGTTGAACAACAAAACGGTCGACATGATCATGGAGTGTTACTGAGGAAAAAAATGAAGAAACATTAGAAAATAAAAATCATATGTTAAATTAGAGAGAAGCATTTTCAATTTGAAGAGGACATCTTTGACGCAACAAATATTGGCAGCAACAAATATTAGCATCATAGAAAGTAAAGTAAAAATTGCTTAAAACGGAAGTTATAGATAAAGGGAAATACAGTGACAACAACATAAAGAAAAAAGAATGGAAACAACATAAATCAGTAGAAGCTAGAATAAATGGCACTAATCAGAGAAGATCACAAATATCAGGCAAATAATGATGGCACTGCTCATGGAAGTTACGGATAGCGGAACTTTGGGAGTGCAAACCAGATATCACACCTTTTATTTCCATAGCAAAAGTATCTTTCAAGAGGCTTTGGCCTCCATATCTCTTTACCTTTCCACCGAGATCTTTCGAGGGCGAATTCATGGACAGGTGGTCAGAGTGTCGCGCCTCATTGTTCAACAAGTGGCACTTTCCTAAGCTGATGTTGGGCTATCATAGTAGATGATTGTCTTTTTACAGCCTCTCTGTTAGCACCAATCATGATAGATCTTTCATACTTTTTCTTCATGAGACCTTCTTTTTAGCAACCTTCAGAACTCTAACCACTTTAGCAGACAAACTTTCTGGTCTTCTCTTCTCCTTAACAAAAGTTGGTGTTGTTGGTTCCAAAAAAATTGTTTTACTTTAAGAGTAGGCTATTCCTTTTTTACCTATTTCAAGTTATTAAACTTATTTCAGGTAAGAATACTCGCTTCTGGTATCGACGAGTCTGTGATTTTTCCCGAATGATACTTAAATCCTCATGACTGGAACTAGCACTTCCTCGAATGGACATTTTAAAAATTTCCTTATTGGCCATTTCATTATAGTTTTCCGAGCTTCGACGGTTTTGGCTATGATGATCTACAACAATGCTGGTCCATGGTGAGGACGACGAATAACGAAATAACAAATACAACTTATTTTTTTCTGAATTTTTTAATATAAGACACAACAATACTAAAAAAAAAGAACAGTAAAATAAGCAGAAAAAGCTAGGGTAGGTGCTCCAGCTGAGTGATCGGGTTCGATTAGAATAAGAGGGTAGGTGTAAATGGGCTTAAATGGAAGGAGGTTGGGTTGTTAGAGAAAAGGCTCCCTGCAGCTTTGTGCAGGTAAGGCAGATGGGGTGGCATGCAAAGGAGTCGACGGTAGTTGTGGAGGCTCTTGGTTGCGAGTACAGTAGAAGGGAGGCTAATAAAGGGGTTGACACAGAGATTGGCTTGGGTAGCGCATAAAGTAGAGCTTGCGTGGCTTCTGGGGCTACTCGGGCCGTAGCAAACAGGGAAAGATGCTCACGGCTAGGGCATGTGAAGGGGAGCGTTCGGCATTGATTTTGAACATAGGAAAGGAAGACGAGGGAGTCGGGTCATGCGAGGCAGAGAAGAGGCGACGACATCGATCGTACAGAAGAGGAGAGGCGAAGCAGAAGGAAGAGAAATTTGGGAGTTACGGAGGTCTCTCTGCGCATCGCAACACTGTGGTTACTGTGAAACTGAAGCAGGTGGAAGGCATGTGTGGTAGTGGAGAGGAAGTAGTTGCGGCGTCGGTCGCATAGAGGAGACGACATCAATTATGGCTTAGAACAGGAGGAACAAGATGATGTGGAGGAGAAAGTGGTTGCGAACGAAAATGAAGATTCATGAGTGGACAGACAACCAAAGAAGGTTTTTTGATCTGTTTGTAAGAGAGCGGTGGCAGTTATTAGATTCAAAGCGGGTGTCTGTGGCGGGAGCAAGTAAGGAGATATTTAATTAATTAATTTTATTTTATTCTCCTTTTTCTTATTTTAAGGTCAACACCATCCTCTCCTCTTCTCCTTCATACATGAAGCCTCAGCATCAACTTCGCCTCCCGAACCAAAGCCCAGGAGCACTTATTTCTATGGCTTCGACACTCTTCCTCCCTGAATGTCATCTTTTCCTTGCTTCTTCTTTCCTGCTCTATCTCTTTACACCTCTACTATTTCTTTCCTGGAGCACTTATTTCTATGGCTTCGAATGTCATCTTTTCCTTGCTTCTTCTTTCTTGCTCTATCTCTTTACACCTCTACTATTTCTTTCCTCGATTCAAATGAGGTGCCCATCTCTTAAGAAGAAACTGTTAAGTTATGATTGATTCGAATCAACAAAAATTTAAATTCTTTTAATTTATTTATTTATTTATGTTTTATGGTTAATGCACTTATCATCAAAATTTCTCTCAACTTTATAAACATTTTTACTAATTAAAATAGTCTTTTTTTTTTTGTGTAAACAAAAGCAGCAGGAACATCATTATAGAATCATTTATAAGTTGTACTACCTGGTCAGAAGAGAACTGTTTTCCCATCTCATAGAATGAATCATAATTACCAATTTCAATCTGCAAGCGCATTTCCAGTTATAATTAGTTGTAATATTCAAAAATTTTCAGCAATTGACAGCGTAAATTATAGGTTTTAGCCCTGACCATTCGTGCACCTGCTTCAACTGCAGAGAGAAATGATGTCGGATCTACAGATGATACACAAACCTACAAAATAAATAAAAAATTAAAATCACATTTTAGAAATTTAAATGGATGAGTTACTGAATAAAACAGAATGGGATGGTAATGGAATGAGATTGAGATTACAGTACACTAAAAGTGAAATTTATTATTTACTAATGAAAATATTCGAAATGGTAGCAACACCTACTATGAAGCCTAAGAGCATTGTCATATGTGTTCAAGCCATATAAGATCAAGGTTTTCGACAGATTTTCTTCCTAAAGCTTGTACACGAGCTACCTTGCCATGTCTCACAGAAGGTAGATAGAAACAGATCCTGTTAGCATATTCGTAAATAGTAATAGGAAGTTGTATTGGGAGAGTATAGCATTTAGAAAAATATACATCTAGATTCTTTTTCTTCCAATTGTATTCATCTCACATGTCTATAATTAGGCATCATTATTTAATGAATAAAATCATCTAATTTTCACTATAGCTCAAGGGCAATGTTCTTAGGGTTCTCTCTTTCTGATGGTGGATTTAAGGCAAAATCAAAACTAGTGGGGATGCCCAATTCCACCAACAAAATATATATCATAACAAATAACCGCTCGCTTTGCGCTCACAGCAGCCACCTATTCATCCAATGCTAAATAATGAGTCAAAAGTCAAAACAAGTATGTCCAAATGATCACACTAAAAAATATAGTATTATTAAGAAAGTAACATGTGTCATCTGATCAAGTAGTAAGCTTGATTGCATTGCTACATTATTTACAATTATGGCTTAAGCCCGAATGTTCCTCAATGATCAAACCTATGAGTTGTGAGCCAGTATAAAAGTAGCTAAGAGTTGTTTAAAATTGGCCCCTTCAACAAGCTTTCCACCTAAGCGTACAAAGTTATTTTGGATAATTCAATCTACAGTTGTTCAATGATCATTTGGTTAACCCATAGGCCCGCCCCCCCCCCACAACCATCTACTTTGAGCTAACAACTTTTGTCTTTTCACCAACCCAAACCAATGTTAAAAAGCATAATGAATCCTACTGACTAGTCTTAATCAAAAGTGATCTCTTATGATCAAAAGAGAGAATTATTTTGAAGAGTTTATCATCTATAAAAAACCTCAAACTAGATCATTAAGTTTTCATTAATGAGAGGAATCTTTAGAAAACATTTAATTTAATATCTAATTAATAATTTAAGAATTTAACCCAAGACCATTCAACTTAAACAAAGCTACATGGGGACTTGCAACGAACACAACATAGCAAGAGATGAAGGAACTTATACCAAGATAGGTATAAATCTAGGGCCAGGGGGAGCAGGGCTGGGGTTACCGAAAAACACTCAATTTTAACAAAGCTAGGCATACAAATGCCACAACATAGCACGGGAAGGAACTTGAAGATAGATTTTAACTTTGGTCATGCGTGTGCAATTACTCATAATTCCACTTCTCTTGTAAACGTAATTCCAATATTAATTCCAATTAAAGGATAAGTTCCTTACATTAAATATAGATTTAATGGTTTCAGATTCACCACTAATATTAATCATGATTTGCATGCTAACAAAGAGTTCCAACCACTGAAAGCAAACAAAAGATGATGGCAAATATTTGAGCACATAAATAGTGCAACAAAGAATAATATTATTAAAAATTGGTGTGGTTATTGACTATAATAGTCGTTAAAAAATACTAACTAGATGTTAAAGTGCATTAATTCTAGCTCAAATTCCAAATGATGGCATAACCCCCAGACGCAGATTTCCACATAGAATTTCCACTTAGCAAAGCACATAACCCCCAGTAGCAGATTTCCACATAGAATTTCCACTTAGCAAAACATTAAAGTTTTCAAGGTTCTAGCTCAAATTCCAAATGTAATTTGCATATAGGTGGGCAGATTTCCACATAGAATTTCCACTTAGCAAAGCAATAAAGTTTTCAAGAGAACAATATATAAAAAGTGGGGAAAAGGAACAGAGTAGCAAGAAAATGATGAGCCAGGAGGAGTTCGAAGAAGATAAGAAGCTTGCTACTCAAGAAGTGCTTCTGCTTAGACTTACTGAAAAGACTCCACTTTGGAAGCACAATTATCAGAAGCTATAGTAAGCATTATTTGCCCAAGTTGTGCGGGTACCCAAAAGACTCGAATGAAAGTAGGGGACTGAAATTGAGGATTCTATGAAGAGACGACATCTTGAAAAGAGGTGACCTTGTAGAGATCTAGAAAGAGAATGCATTTGAGATGAAGAAAAATAAGTTAAAGATAGCATTATCCATAAAAAAATGTGGTACATTATGAGAAGTGTACAAGTGTCAGTATTGAGGAACTAGTGAAATAATTTTCTGATTGTTTGAATTCTTATAATTTGCAGGAGCAAATTTATTTCACAATAGGATGCATAAGGATCAAAATAAAATAATAATACAAGTAACCCCACTCCGAAAGAATGGTTATTAAACTATTCTATAGGATACACATATCTATCAGGGATTTCAATCTATAACAACGTCTAAGAAATTATATAAAACTATGACAAGTTCATTGGCTAAAAATATAAAAGTTGGTAAAAATACCAAACATCATAGAACTCCAGGGATTTCAATCTATAACAACGTCTAAGAAATTACATAAAACTATGACAAGTTCTTTGGCTAAAAATTTAAAAGTTGGTAAAAATACCAAACATCATAGAACTCCTCAAATATTGAACAAACACCGAACATAAGAAATTCAGGAACACTCATGCAACACATACAAAGTAAAGTACACGCAAATGAACAGTAGTTTTACCGGGAGAGAAGTGAGACTCATAGCAAGCTTTACCAAATCTGGATCACAAGCTATATCAACATGAGTGGCGCCTCCCTGTAGCAGATTTAAAAACACAATGTAACAAAATTAAAGTTTGGGCACAGAAAGGAGCAACAAAGCCGAAAATTCAGTATCTCAAATCCATTACATTCTTATCATAAAACTTTTACTATAGTTGAAATGGTAAACAAAAAGAAAAATGCAAAGAAAGTGCAAAAGAATTACATCAAACTAGACTATGTGATCCGATTGGTTTCCTTAGGAGGACATTATGGGAATTTGAGCACCCAATACAAAGTAATAGAACATTTTAAATGTACAGAATCCAAGTTGTTAATAAAATAGTTTCAAAACTTGTATTTCATTTAGGATTCAACTTACACAAAATAAACATTTAAAGTGGTTAATAAAAGAATACAAGTAGCAAGCGAATCATGAATTAACTCCACACAAGATGAAACGTAGTAATATACCCAGAGCAGACTGAGTATGAAGAGGGCAACTTAGAAGTTCAATGAGCAGTCCAGAACAAATGAAAAGCCTTAAGATCAAAAGGATCAGTCCATACCTTACCAAAAAAAAGTCTAACCATAATTTGCATAAAAATGAGTTGCCAAAGCAATTGCAGCAAGTGCAATAATTAATGGGGCATTTACATACATACCACACCATTCATATGTATTTACATATCTAATGATTAAACATTTATATTTACATGCATAAAACTCAAATTTTTAACATCGCATCAACCATGATATATAGCTTCTAAAAGTAAAATGCACCTTTTCATGCATAGGTTTATGACACTAAGATGTTACGACTGTAAAAATCAAACTTTGGGTGTTAGATATGTAAATGCATAGGAACTGTGTGTATGTATCTAAATTTCTCTTGATTAATATGGTAAATCTTTCCTCTAAACTTGGCAAACCTCCAAGCTAAGTTTCCTAGAGCAGAATTATGCTGGTACAAATCCCACCTAATTAAACGCTCAAAAAATAAACTTGGAAACCAATTTCTACTTATTGGAGAACGATAAATTGCCAAGATATCTTCAAAAGGTAGGGATTAGGGAGCCTTTAGAGCTCTTCTACTTCAAGTCCTAGGTTTCACTTTGAAAGAAAAATACAAACTTTAGTGACATCATTCTAGGGTGGCTAGAAGGTATTTTAAGAGTGGATTTAAAGGGGAGGTAGTTGTGGAATAGCGAGGGAACAAAGTATGCAAGGTCGAGAACGTTTGGAAGGGGATAGGCGTCGTTCGGCTGCTATCCCTACTGAAAACAACAAGAAGAACCACCAAATATTGAGGAATGGGCAACAAGGAGGTTCACAACATGTTCCTGAATAAGATACAAGCACGCTTCTTGCAAAAGGAAAAGGGTATAATACTCCTTAGAGCAAAAAATAGAGATACAATATCCAAAATACACTAACACAAAAAAGTCCTCTTAGAATAGAAAACAAAACATAAAAATAGTCCCCCAAAACAAAATATCTAAATAGAAATAAAAAAAATAGGAAAGGAATCAGAAAATAAAAAAAATGGTTCGAAACAAGAAATCAGACGGTTTCCTTGTCCAATCACCGCAATTGCGAGTTTTCTGCGACTGTGAATTCCAACGTTTGTGGGAGTGATTCCGCACTCCACGCGGAATCCGGTGACCCGGCGAGAAAGCTTCTCCCCGAGTAGGATGTGAGCTTTGGTAGCTTGGATGAGGTGTGTAATTGGATGTTGCCAGTTCCCAAAATGCAAGTAGCTACTGAAATAATTTATTGTGGAGTTGTTTGCCATTGTTGGCGTGCTAAGAATGCAAAGAAGCATGGCAGGACGTATGGTACCCTAACCATTTTTGCGTCAACTAACCTCACTTCTCTTACCCACACCGCTTCTTTCGCCATCCAGAAGCAATGAGGTACTCCTAGGTCGCATTGGTTGTCCTCCCCCCCCCCCCCCCCCCCCCCACACCTCTACTAGATTAAGGTGAACATGGATGGGGCCATTTGTCCAGCGAGCCTTGCGAATCTTAGGGTAATTTTGCGTGACGAGATGGGAAATTGCATTGTTGCTACAAGCCGAAAGCTTTTACAGTGGGATAGCTCTTAGGTTGAGGAGGAAGCGCCTAGATACATTGGTGCTTTGATTGCACCGTGGATGCTGCAAACCAAGGGTTTTGTGATGGAAGGGGACAATAACAATGTTGTGGATGTTATTCGGCTCACTTTGGAAAGGAAGGCTTGGGATCAAGATGAGGGAGGTGGCCATAAGATAGCATTTCTAACCAACTTCCGCCAGGTTTTTTTTCACATTTTGATAGATCTAACAACAAGGTGGCTCATTTTCATGCTCGACTTGCCTTACAGGATATTTTTTTTGTTAAAAAATTATATGATAGTCATCCCTTGCTTTCTTTTATTACAAGGGATAGGAATTTTTGTGGGGCTAATACTTTGTACCCTCTTTCTTTTGCTTTTTGGTGGCTCATTTAGCCTCGTTTTGTAACTCTTTATTTTTATATTAATGAAAAATGCACACACTTCACGAGTAGGAGGAGCTTCATCTTCCTTCCACGAAGCTTTTGAAATCAAACTACTACAATCATAACAAAGATGTTGTCTAGCTGCGTCCAAGGCAACTCCACTATAAAATCCATGCTCACGTCTATTCCATGTAATTCTAAAAAACATAAGTCATTCCAAAAATTGTCCTGGTAGAATAAGTAGTCATACTTTGTTAGCACAACCAGAATTGGAACAGAATATAGATGATAATTCTCACAAAACATGCCTCAAATCATTAAATATAAAAACTGCTTCTCTCACTGCTCATACTAGGTTGGGCGCATTAGATAAATAAGTTTGACTAGCAAAACCAGCTATGAAATGAATATATGGCATGTTGAACCATTCCCATTGACAACTACCAAAGAGATAAACTCTTGATCATGATATCTGCAACTATTTCAACTTGCTCCTTTTCTAGTATTAAATCATTCGACTCATTATTTTCTAGGACAACCAATGTTAATCCTATTGGAGTCTCTCTCATGAGCTCGGCTTGAATTGCTAGCATACCACCCTCATCAATTGAAAGTTGATACTCCTTTGAGTCCTCATCACATTTAGTGTTTTGTGTATCAATATCAATTTCTTCAATTATTTTATGCTCGAGGAAAGAGATCACCTACCTATTTGGGCAATCAGATGTAATATGTCCAAAGTTGCGGCACTCGAGGAACTTTTTTATTGAGAAGAATTTTGGAGTATTAAAGGTCTCTATTTTTTCCTTGACTCTGAGCTAGCTTTTCCTCGAGTGGACTCGGTTAGGATGCTCCACTAGGTATACTTTTGTTGTCTAATTCTTGAGTTGAACTCTGTCTATAAGGTATGGTTGTCATCTGATTACGTTGTTGTTTATTGACCTTCAAAGCTAGGGTATGTATATTGAGGGTTTGTTTGGGGCAGCTTATTTGGTGCGGTGGCGTTTTGAAAACGCACCTCACCTGTTTGGGTAAACTGCGTTTTGGCAGCTTATGCGTTTTCAAAACGTTAAAAACAGCGTTCTTACACCGCACATATCAAGGTGCGGTGGTAGCTTTCTGGCAGCAGTATAGCTTTTCCAAGAAAATAAAAATTTGTAATAGTCACCACACCTAACTTATCAGCAGATTATTTTTAATCAGCTTATCAGCAGATTATCCAATAAGTTGCAGCTGCCCAAACAGACCCTGAAATATGGACTAATATGATTGCAGCTACACCACATTCTTGAGAGCTGACATCAGTCCTCAAAAATACCTCACATTTTGTGATCCTCTGGTTCCATCAACTCACCTTTAAATATGAGTTAATCAAATTCAACTATACCACCACAAATGAATCTCTCAAGGGCGATTGGTGGACTTTAATGAACATATCATACCAGTAATTAGAGGGAAAAATGAATCTCTCAAGGGCGATTGGTGGAGTTTAATGAACATATCATACCAGTAATTAGAGGGAAATTATTTGTGTTGCAGCTGTTTTTTCATCTTAAATCAAGTGGTGATCTTATTTTTCTCCTCTTGCTGTCGAAGATACTTAGAATTCTCCCACCACAGAGATATGCTCCTCTTTAACTTAATGAAAACTAGATTTACCCTCATAGTCACTAGAACGTCCTTATAGTCAAAAATTTGTTATATTGCTTGGAGCAACTCCATGAATTTGTCTGGATCCATGCGATAGTCAAAATTCGACAAATCAACAATTACTCCAAAATTTTAGCTTTGATATTATATACCAAATTGTCAGGATAATAATTCTTCATCACTAAAAACTATATGTTAAAAGAAATTCACTTCCTCCTCTAAATCTAATGAGCTGCCGTTGTGATTATAGGTAATCTCACCAAATTTTCTCCTCTCATAGACAACAAACTTCTATTGCAATTGGCAGATTTTTCTTTGCATGTTTTCCATAATGAGCTCTTGAACATCCCGTTGAGGGTTTCTCCTTAACGACATGATATATTTTCCTCCCAATTAGGTTTTCGACGGATGTAGAATTACAAATTAAGGTTAGTCGAGGGCTTAAATTTTTGTGGTAGGTGTCAGAGTGAAATTTAGTAGAGGTGAAAAAGTTGAATTTAAAAATTTTAGGTTTAGGGCTAGAAATGGTAGAATGGGTGGTTGGAGTATTGAGTTGGTCAATCACTAAAGTTATGTGAAATTTTAGGTGGGTGTAAAAACAAAAAATTCTTAAAAATTTGGGATTTATCGGTTTCCAAAACCAGGTGATACCATTTTAAGGCGCAATGTATTTTAAGAGTGGATTAGGGTGGAGCTTCTATTTCTACTTTCGAGCACGAGTTCTAAACCGAATCAGAATATCACGTGTGGGTGGTCGCGATACAAACCGCCGCACATCTTTATTAAAATTGTGATTGTGGCTAAAGGCCTGCATCCCACATTTATGATTTAGATTTTCCTAATTTACGTAGAGGCATCCACGGGATCGAAAAATTTGGTAAGAGATTGCAGCATGCCCAAGCTCTCCTTCATGTCGCCCTCTCAGCGAGAAAGATTGCAGCGTGCCTTCAAAAGTCCCGATCTTGCCTCCTAAATCATGCATTCCTCTCAAGATGTCTTCCTTGTTCTTTGATTGCTCCAAAATTAGACCTTTCAACTATTTTTCAGAATAGTGTGTGTTTAAAACAAGAAAGAGAGTAAAGTTTGGGCTTAAATAGAGAGGATGGAGAGGGGCTGAGATTTGGTAATGGGAAATTTTTCGCTGTGTATGTTATTTTCCACGCTGCTACAATTTGTTTTGTTAGTACATATTTTTATCATATAATTCTTCATTGTTATGGAGCGTTTTTTTATGTAAGTGTAGGCGGGTTTTGATTTTAGGACACTGTAATAGCTTCTAAAGATCTTGAAAAAAAGTATCACAATATTTTGTAAATAGGAGCTTATAACAGTAATAACTGCCATGCAGTTTTATTTTTACTGATGGAAAAATCTAATTGCATGGTAGTATAGGTGATTTTTGTTATTGTTGGAACCATTTAGGGGCTAGGGACATCCAATTTACCCTAATTCCATAAAGACATTTCAGACATTTATCTATAGATAGCACTTTCAAAATAAAACTTCTTAAAAAGAACTCCTAGAACACCAGTTTTTAAACAATAGATTTTCCACGGTATCTTTTGAACTAAGATTTCATATAGCCACAACAATCTCAAACACAGTCTTAAAGGGAAGAAAGTTGTGGAATAGTGACGAAACATAAATATAAGAGGTCAATGGCGTTTGGAAGGGGTTCAACATCATTCGACAGTTGTGTATATTGAAATAGTGACAAGAACCATAAAATGATGAGGTACAGACTGCGAGGAGGTTCACCACATGTTCCCGAACAAGATAAAAGCACACCTGAACAAGATAAAAGCACACCACATGCATAATGAAGATGATACAACACTTCTTAGAGCAAAAAAGAGATATACAATCTCCAAAATACACTAACACTGAAAAGTCATCCCAAAATAAAAAACAAAATATATAAATAGTTTCATAATAAAAATTACCTAATTAAAAATAAGTAGGCAAAAAATCAGAAAAGGCAAAAAACTTGACTGAAATCAGACGATTAAGTAGACAAAAAATCAGAAAAGGCAAAAAACTTGACTGAAATTAGGCAAAAAATCAGAAAAGGCAAAAAACTTGACTGAAATCAGACGATTTTCCTGTTTGGTCACTGCAATCGTGGGATTTTCTGTGATTCAATAGGATCTCGTGTTCACGGGACCGATTTTGTGCTCCATGTGGAATATCGCGACCCAACAGGAAAGTTCCCACGTCATCCACAATCCACCAAAGCAAAAACACAAAGTATTGGCACAAAAGACTGATAGCACACCAAAACCAACAATAAAAGAGATCAACCAATCAAGATTTCATGGAGAACATCTTGTAATGAAACACCAGAAACAAAGAAAACTAGAAATAAAAATCCGCAATCTACCCAAGCAAACAAATAAGAACAAACACCCAATCATAATGGCATGACAAGTCGAGCAACCCAAAGATTAAAAACTAAGGTTAATGTGGAAAGCTTTTACAGGAAAAACAAATGTGTAAAACCAAGAGAGAATTTACAGCCTTAAAGAAATAAAAGTGTTGCAAAACAAGATTCATAAAATTGGGAGAAATTACAATAGGGACTTCTACAAAGAAAATTCATTCCCTAGTTCCTCAAAAGAATAAAAAGCTCCAATGATGGTAGGATGTCCAGAAAGAAATGTAGGACAAAACTACACAAAGGGCCCTCTTAAATACCTCAAAGAACCTTTAAATAGGTTGTTCTTATTTCTATGAATAACCCCAAAAAAAACTGTGCAATTGATGTGGAGTTTGATATTTAATGAAGCTATCCACGTAAGTGTTGCTTTACTTTGGAAGCTTTTGTATTTTCCCTCTATCACGCCAGTTCCAGAGCTTAGAGTTAACTAAGACGGGTATAGACAATCGGACGGTGGAACCTAAGTCTTCTATATTCATTTAGAACTTAACAGATAAAAGAGTCACTAATCAAATTAAATTAAATCAATAAAATTAAATTTACCTCGCTAGCTGTCTGCATATTCTATACATATTTTCTCTTCAATTGTTCATCTTTTAATCAATAAATTAACCTGAAAAATTAGTTTAAAAATAACAGTGAACGAAATAAGTCAGTGAATACTCATGTTTCTAAACTATAGTAATTCAAGGGAAAAGAAAGTAATATTCATGTCAGTTAAAGTTTTGAATAAATCAATATAAATATTTGACAATGTTATTCAATAAATATTATCATATCAATATCATTCTATATATGTACAATCGTCACAAGAGCACCGTCTAAAAATTGTGTCAATTAAGACACATCAATATTAATATCTTTTTTCATTTACGTGCATGAGTACTTTAGTGTTCTCTCATTAATACCATAAAGAGGCAATTCTATCATAGTTAATCATGCACATACAAGCAGTCAATATAAACATATCATTTATGTGTTCATCGCATTCAATTCAACATATTATATAACGCATACACCAATGCATGATAGTAAATAACAACAAACATTCATAATAATATGATCGATAAAGAAAAGAATATCTCAATCAGAATAAAATATATTCAAGTGTCATTAACTAAAAAATTGTTGAGAAGAAAAAAATTATTACTATATATTAAAAGTACGAGTACTTACCTCGATGTCAGTTAATTTGTTATTTGATTTGCCTTGAATTTATCTTCACCTCGATTCTTTTTAAATTTAAGTCTATAAAAATGATTAATAAAATTTAATTTTTTATTTAAAATATTTACTTTATATCATTTAAGTTTAAAGTTTTTTTTTATTATATCTTATATAATCCTAAATATATATTATAAGTATAAAATTCTTATCAAATATTTTAATTAAACTTATTAAAACTCACCTTAACCTTTTCGATCGAAGCCTTAATTGTGTGCAGACATTTCTTCTTGCGATCGAATCACTCTCTCCTTCCCTGCATTCAGCTCCCCCCGCATGAGTTTGGACGTCGACGCTTACCTCCTTCGTATGGAAGAAGCGCGTGTGCACCCGGAAGAGCTTCTTCACACAATACCGACGCCGACTCTTCCTCTATTGCTCGACACCGATGTCGATACTTCCTCGTCACCGGCTAGGACGTCTCCCGCATCATTCTCCTATCCTTCGCACGCCACTTGACTCCCAGTTAAGTGATCTCTCCTAGGCCACGTCATTTGATAGGCAAACTCATAGTGTAGGCTTCCGATCTCCTTATTAAAACTCACCTTAACCTTTTTGATTTTCTGAATGTTTCAATTTTCTATTAAAACTCACCTTAACCTTATTAAAACTCGTTTCAATTTTCTGAATGTTTGACTCATCTCCAATTTCTTCAACTATCCAACCCTCTCGATTCATCACCCTTTCGATCGACTCCTCACTTCCACTTCTTCAGTTTTCTCATTTTTTCTCCCCCGATTATAGAAACGGGACATTACACCCTCCATACACAACAACTAGAAAGGATTTTAAAAGAAGAAATTAAACTACAAAGCATCATTACTTTTTCTCTTCCCATCTATTTCTCATCTCTAAGAAACGAGCTTATCATTTCCCTCAGCTGAGATCTTCCTTGAGCTACCAACCACCTCCTTTACGCCTCAATCCTCATTCCCTGAGGCTAACTTGAGCATACCAAATTTATTGAGCTTCCGCTAAATTAAAGCCAATAGAGGAATTAATGTAATGTACGCAGCCTTATCCCTACATTTATAAAGAGTGTGTTTCCATTATTCGGACTTGAGACCTTCAAAATACACCAAGGCACATAAGCGCTGCTCAAAATACACCTATACTCTTCCCTAAACTGTCTCACGAAAAAGCCATTCTACATGAGCCAAAGTAGAAAGCCCGTGATGAGAGATTCACATCATGTCTCGGTCAATTAAGCCCAGAAATGGATTTAAGATGTATCCACAATTATTGTAATTTTCAACATTTCCAACATTGAGCAGTTTCATTTTATTCCTCCAGCACCAAAAACTTGACTCCAAATTCAGTAAAATCCATCTTCTCCTGCATCAAATTGGCATGGTTTCCGACTAATGTAAAGTAATAGCATGAAAATTTTCACTAGTAAATGATGGTCAAGTTCAAACCTTTTCTGCTGCAATGACAACAGACGCCACCTTCTCCTTGTCAAAATTTTGAAGTCCGGAAATGATCTGAAGATAAGAAGACCCAAAATATAAGAGCCGAGAAGCTTAAAAGAGGCCAAAGGAATTACCTTTAAAGCTTTTCTATCAATAAAGCTTCTGAGGACTGCTTCCTTTGCCGCAGACAGAGATGCCCTGGTAGCCGGAGCAATGGATTTTGGTTTCTTCGCCTTGTGGCGGCTGCTCAACGGCGGGAAGATGCGGAGAAGAGGGTTAAGTTTTCGCAGCTGACTTGAAAACTCGCCACTGATACAATGGTTGGGAACTGAAAAAGAACCCAGCACCGCTCCATAAGCCATTCTAACGTATTGCTGCGACCTGCAAGTGCTTCAGAATATGGAAGCCAGAAGAGATAAGGTGCTCCGCATTGGCTATTACTTCGTCGAACCTTTTTTTCTGCGTTTAATTATTCATCAGAATTATAACTGATGCTATCAGTATTTTTATCAAATTATATACAAGTCTCATCCCATTTTTTTTAAATCCACAATCTATTTTGAGTATACCATAAATTTAACCTTTCTTTTGGATGATAACAAATAATTCAATGATTTAAGTTCTCAATTACTCTTAGCAATGGAAAAAAACACTGCTTAGGTGATTCCACTTCTGTTTTTGAATTCATTTTTGTTTGCAGATATAAAATAAATAAAAAAACTGGTGGCCAAAAATAAAAATTAATCAAGTTTACTCATCTATATGACAAGAAAATATTTGCATACTAAGAGATGTGTGTGTCGGGAGTTATTCAGAGGGTATAAAGGGGTTATATTCGTGTTATACTCCCTTTAGCTTCCCTATAGCCTACTTGTAACCTCTCTATAACCTACAAATAAATTCCGTATTATGTAATTCCAGTATAGGAAAGTTACACAGAGATTACAGGAGATTATAAAGCAGATATAACCTGCCCGTACCCTCTGAATAACCCTCCCTGTATAAAGCAGATATAACCCGCCATAACCTGTGAATAACCCCCCATGTAAATTGTATTTGAGCATTAACTGATCCATCATGGGAACTCTTAATAATTTTCAGGTTAAGAAATAATTTAAATTGCTTCAAATAAATTTGAATCCCACAACAGAGATTGAAAGAATAAGAGAATGGGGAGGATATATTACATGTAAAAGATATAATACAGACAGGAGATGCAGACATTTCTT